CCACTGCCTGCAGGAAAGCACTTAAATCATCAATGAATGGCCATTCTGCCCTGTAAGAGAGCCAGGTTCACTTCTCAAGACTCCATACGTCATTCCTCAGTTGGAAGAGCAGAAGTGGCCCTGAGAGTGAAGTGGGGAGCAGATCGATTGCATGTCAGGGCATTCAGGGAACGATGCTGACAGGTTCCAAAGAGCATCATAGAATCATAGAATCTTTGGGTTGGAAGAGACCTTTAAAGGTCATCTAGTCCAACCCCTATGCAGTAAGCAGGGACATCTTCAACTAGATCAGGTTGCTCAGAGCCTCTTCCAACCTGACCTGGAATGTTTCCAGGGATGGGGCATCTACCACTTCTCTGGGCAACCTCTTCCAGTGTTTCACCACTCTCATTGTGGAAAATGTCTTCCTTACCTCTAGTCTGAATCTGCCCTCTTTTAGTTTAAAACCATTACCCCTTGTCCTGTTGCTACAGGCCCTACTAAAAAGTCTGTCCCCATCTTTCTTATAAGCCCCTTTGAAGTACTGAAAGGCTGCAATAAGGTTTTCTTGGAACCTCCTCTTCTCCAGGCTGAGCAACTCCAACTCTCTCAGCCTGTCCTGATTTAGGATTTTTCTGTAGGGTTAGGTCTAAGTCAGAGAAGCTTTCAGAAGGTATGGAAGTGCAGGTCCTCTGGACTCCATCTAGTTCACTGCTAGCAAGGCGGATAGGCAGTGAAAATGCTAGCACATTGGGCCATTCATATGACCCCAAGGCCATGTGTTCCATTTCTTCTGTGACTGAACTTACTGCACATACCTTCCTTATCTCCCAGGACTTTCTGGTTAGAGTTATCCGCCAAGCTCCTTTTTCCAGTAAGCCCCTCTTCCTTATGCCATCTACCACTTCTCTGGGCAACCTCTTCCAGTGTTTCACCACTCTCATTGTGGAAAATGTCTTCCTTACCTCTAGTCTGAATCTGCCCTCTTTTAGTTTAAAACCATTACCCCTTGTCCTGTTGCTACAGGCCCTACTAAAAAGTCTGTCCCCATCTTTCTTATAAGCCCCTTTGAAGTACTGAAAGGCTGCAATAAGGTTTTCTTGGAACCTCCTCTTCTCCAGGCTGAGCAACTCCAACTCTCTCAGCCTGTCCTGATTTAGGATTTTTCTGTAGGGTTAGGTCTAAGTCAGAGAAGCTTTCAGAAGGTATGGAAGTGCAGGTCCTCTGGACTCCATCTAGTTCACTGCTAGCAAGGCGGATAGGCAGTGAAAATGCTAGCACATTGGGCCATTCATATGACCCCAAGGCCATGTGTTCCATTTCTTCTGTGACTGAACTTACTGCACATACCTTCCTTATCTCCCAGGACTTTCTGGTTAGAGTTATCCGCCAAGCTCCTTTTTCCAGTAAGCCCCTCTTCCTTATGCCAGTTACTCTGGCATTTTAATCCTTCTCCCTGCAACCCATTTCTCTTCATCTCCAGTGAGAGTGCCAGTGTTTGGTGCCTTTCCCTTTCTGACCCAGAGCTGGGAATGTATTGATTGCTTCTGCTCTTCTGATCAATGTATTGCTGTTCTCTGTTCTGTCTGCTTTCAAAGTGCAAGAAAGGTTGAAATAAGTGGTTTCATCCCTTTTCTTCCTCCCATTTCTTTTTCCTCCACACCAAGGGCCACATTTGCTCACATTTCTCCTTCCTTCTCCGCAAGATATTTTTTTCCCCTTGAGATCTTCTGGTTTTCTGTTTTCTACTTTTTCTTCAGAATTACTTTCCTTCTCTCCTTTCCTATAATATCCTTTGGCAAGTAAAGAAGGCATTTGCCTCCGCTGTGTGGGGAAGATGGCAGAGCTGGGACAAGCATATTGTTGTTCTGGAAGCTGTAAGTAAGTAGGACTTCCAGATTTTCTGAAGGTAAATAACTGGTAGAAAGTACTTTTAAAGTAGCTGTGAAAATGGATGGATCCTCAGAGAATAGTCCTGTCTTTGTGCCTTGGATCTCCTATTCAATCTTTAATTGCATTTTTATTTTGTTTGATGTGTAAGGGCCATCCATAGTTCCATTCAGTGTGGCTAAATGTTATGTGCGAGAGCAATTTTTAAAATTTTTTTTAACATGTGTCTGACAGTTTTTGGTCTCTGGATAAAAAAAGACTTGGTGGGCAAGATCATATGAAGGTATATGCTTGCTTGCTTCTCACAGAAATCAGTAGAGTTAAGGTGCCTATGTAAATATATGCCTGTTGCTACTATGTGAAATTTAAACTATGAGGAAGAAACAAGGGGACACTGGCATACCAAGAACTGAGTAGGAAAAGGGATATGTGATGAGTGGAAGAATGTCTTTGTTGTTAAGGACCTAGACAGTTCCCTTTTATATATTTTTGGATCTTCTACAAATGCTTTGGGTTGCCCTGCCCAAGTTACTTATGGGATAAATAGGATTTATCTGTTTCTTAGATTATTTTTTATCTGCTGTTTATCTACTTAGACAGATGTGCTGGTTTTGACTGGGGTAGAGTTAATTGTCTTCATGGTAGCAAGTATGGGAATATGTTTTGGATTTGTGCTGAAAACAGTGTTGATGATTCAGGGATGTTTTGGTTGTTGCTGAGCAGGGCTTACACAGCGTCAAGGTCTTTTCTGCTTCTCACCCCGCCCCACCAGTGAGGCGGCTGGGGGTGCACAAGAAGTCGAGAGGGGACACAGCTGGGACAGCTGACCCCAACTGACCAAAGGGATATTCCATACCATATGATGTCATGCTCAGCATATAAAGCTGGGGGAAGAAGAAGGAAGAGGGGGACATCCAGTGCTATGGCATTTGTCTTCCCAAGTAACCGTTACACGTGATGGAGCCCTGCTTTCCTGGAGACGGCTGAACACCCGCCTGCCCATGGGGAATGGTGAATGAATTCCTTGTTTTGCTCTGCTTGCGTGCGCGGCTTTTGCTTTACCTATTGATCTGCCTTTATCTCAACCCACGAGTTTTCTCACTTTTAGTCTTCCGATTCTCTCCCCCATCCCACTGTGAACGGAGTGAGTGAGGAGCTGCGTGGTATGTAGTTGGTGGCTGGGGTTAAACCACGACAACAGATTTATCTACTATTTATCTGCTTAAATATTTCTGAGGACTTTACTCATTCAGCTCCTCTGGTGAAATAAGGGTAATAATGCTTCCTGACCTTTGGTCTTGTCTGTTCACGTAATAATCCATTTCAATAGGGATTATTTTCTATGCTACTGTGTGTTCCAGGCATGATTGGTGTCCCAGTAAGATTAGGTACCACCATAAACACATGGAATAGAGTTAATAATGTAAACACCGTCTTTTGGTTTATCTACTGTTCATTTCTATAAACAATTACAAATATCTCCTGAATTTATTTTTTTCGCTTCAGTTACTTTAATAGCTATATATTATTTGTTATTGCTGCCTATTTGAAGAACTTGTCTTGTTTTCTTAAGATTTACTAATAATTTACTAATCTTTTAAATCTATATCTTTATTTAAAATGTTGGTTATTGCAGATAATTCCTTCAGTACTTCAAAAATAGGCACTATACAAAAAAATGAGTAGAACTTGTGTTAAATGGTCTAAAAATTGGACAACTGTTAAATTCCAAAACTATTTTGAACTTCAGTCTAGTGGGAAAGGACATAAAATGTTGTTTTAAAAGCTGAAGCTAGAGAAATTCAAATTAGTGAAAAGGTGCATATTTTCATTGTGAGAATAAATATTAGTTCTGAAAAGTTATGTAATACAGTGAAACATTTTCCTTTTCTTGAATCTTCCTAAAATAGATGCTGTTGTGTAAAGAAAAGCAATAGGGTTTTTACCTAAATTACTCTTTGACTTCTGTTAACGCAGAAAGTCAGTTTATGTTGTTGAAATAGTACTCTGGCTTTAGAACCTGTCAATTTTTGAATCTGTGAAATGTTTCTCTTTTTTTCATTTTCTAATTGAGCGTTAGCCTAATTCCTGAACCTGCATCTGTAGCTGAGGTTGTTGAGTCCTAGCATCATGTTTTCTTATGGCCTTCGAGTCACTGACTTTAAATCAAAAGTGTCCTCCCTCTCATGCGGCGATCAGTACTAAGTATAACATTTGATTAATGGGATTGGAAGGCTGGTTGTCTTGAAATTGGATTGCAAAGTGGAGTATTATAGCTAAATCATCAAATCAGATCTGCAAAGTTATTTGTGCTTGAAATAGAGGACTTGTGCAAGGGGAAAATACACCGCAGTTGTGGTTCTGAGAGGGAGTGAGAAAACACAGAAGGGATGCCTCGAAGAAAGCTGCTCTGGCAAGTATATATCTGTTTCTTGGTGTAAGTACTAAGAATTAGAATCAACTGCGAAACAAAAGAAATATTTTAGATCATTCTGTTTTGCCTGAAGGGGCAAAGGGGTAAGAATTGGTATAAGTAGAGGAAGAGTTATGCAAGCACTTATGTGTTTGCATGACAGTATGGGAAATAAGCTGACTCTTAATATGTCAAATATCCGGATCTTATAAAATTCTTATGAAGATGATCCACCTCCAGATCATCAGATCTTGAAGGCTTCTACAAAGGAAAGTAGTATCACTAAATCCTGATTTACAACAGTATAACGAAGGTAAAAATATTGTGACTAACCACTGTGGTAGAATTCAGCATGGACATTCTTTTTTGCCCTCATTTAAAGCTGTGCGGTACTGCTGAGTGCACAGAAGAGCTGGAGGCAACCAGCTGTGGAGCTGACACATCCATGCTCCAGCAGCGGAGAGAGTATGTTTTATGATCTGCACCTTGTTCAATATATGGGGCAGGATATTAACAATAGTAGTCTACTTCCTCACTTTTCCTTGTAAGCATTTGCATTATCTTCTCTCTTTTCACTCCAGCACAAATAAAGGTTATATTAATCACAGGTTTCTAAGATGATAGTGTTGGATGGAAATGCCTACTTCAGATTGTTATTGTTGTATAATACTGACATGCAAAAATGGTAACTTCTTTTTTTCTCTGTTCTTTCCCACAGGGTGCAGCTCTAATTCGAATGTTGGCTAACTTTATGGGTCACTCTGTGTTTCAAATGGGCTTACAAGTAAGTAAAGGCATTTCTGTCTTTGTGTAGCTGTGTATGTCAAGCAGTTTATCTTGCTCTCACTTTTTTTCATTTTGAACTGTATTTGCATCTATTTGTGGAAATGTTTCTTCAGGACCACCTGAGGCACCAAGATGTCCCTGTTGCTGAATTTGATGGAAGATGCTGGGCAGTGTAACATATGTTGTGGTGCCCCCAGTTACACCCATATTTCTTGATGTATCAAGCGATTGCATTTTAACTGGGACTCAGTTTTGTGTCTGTTTTGTCTAGTTTGCCACATAAAAGCCATTTTAGCCATGTGGCAACTGTGTGAAGGGTTAGCTGAGGAAAGAGTCACTTCTCTTCAATTGTGGTTGCATGCGAGTATGAAAATAATAACAAATGATGTCAAGCCAGCTAGAAAATACACAGCCCTAAAACTAGTAACTCTTTTCAGATAAATATTTTTTCCTTCCCTTCCCCCATAGCAAAATCCTTGAGCTTTATTTTCACCTTTGATAAGCATGGAGGGCTCTCTGCCTTAACAAGGTTTTGAAAACTCACTCTGCCTTGTAAAATAAATTTAAAAAGGTAACATTTCTGTACGAAGAGAAAGAAATTCAACATGCTGATTACCAAGGATGAACTCTTTTCAGCAATAATTCAGCACAAATGAGTGTTTCATAAACTACTTAAAAACAAACAAGGGAAAGCATCGAAAACAATGTGACTCCCTCTATTCCATTGAAATCTGCTTGAGTAAATCATGTTACAGGCAGCTGTGATTGATGAATTATGTATGATGCAGCCTGCTACTTAGAAGTGTCCTTTAAAGTAAATTGATGTTCACCTGAAATACAATTATGCTAAGATGGAAAGAGCAATCAATCTTATCTGTTCTTAGTAAGCTTTTCATTTTAAAATTTAAATAAACTACATCTAGGATCAGGTCATTTTTTAACAGAATAATTCTACCTCTAACCAAAATAAATTGGAAGATAAAATATAAAACAAAAGTTAAATAAATGCACTGGTTATGTCAGAGAGGTGTGTTCTGTGCAATAAGCAATGAAAGGAAACCTGCTGGGGAAATACAGCTTTTTGGAGAGTTTACAGGACATTCAGGTTTTGCAACATAACTTATTCACAGGACCCAGTTGGATGATTTTCTTAGTTGTAATAGCAGGTCAGATCAATTAGATAATCTTCTTGTCAAGATAAGAAATCTTGAAATCAAAAGTTTCCTTCATAAAATCTTCTATATATCAAGGGTAAAACCCTCATCTCATTTAAGCCAATAAGACTTCTGTCCTTAGTCCAGCGATCTCCATATTCCAGCCAGAAACTTTTGCCTGCACAGATGCATTCATATGGAAATTCAATAGCTCTTTTTCCCAAAAAAGCATTTCACTCAGGGTTTTAGAAGGCAAAGTTTTAATACATACATCTCAAACCCTGTTTTTCTATTTTCTTCTACATTTGCCCGAGAAATAACAGTGTGCAAGTTGGCTGAAATAAATTTAGAAAAAAGTTCAGATCAAAGAATAGGGCTATGCAGGGATTAAATAATCATAATTACTATAAAGTTGTAATGGAGCTTTGTTTTTTGATTTGAATGGTTTCCTATTATTTCTGCTTTTCACTGGTTCTGCTGTAAATAGAAACTCTTCAGTTTGCTAATGAAAGTCTATGAAAAATCTAACTGTGAAAATCTGACTAGTGAAAGATTGGCATCAGTTCAGTAGGCAGATGATATTCCAACTTCTTTTATAAAACCTGTTTGAAATCCAGATAGAGATTTTCCATATGTATGTCTCCAAGTTGAACAAAATAAAACATAAAGTTCATAAGCTTATTCATAAGCTATGAATTTTATAATTGCAAATGTCTGTCCATCATTTAATTCTTTGTGTTTTGTGTAGCTAAAAAAATAGTGTTCCTGCACTGTAGAGTTGGGAGGATAGCTCTGCTAATGATAAGGGGAAATGGAGGACTAATTCACCCTTTCTATTGGTTTAGGCTTTTTAGCACTTTACCCCCGGTACTATGATTTGGGATTTAGCATTATGTTGCCTTGAATCCAGTTTTATCATGGAATTCTGATATTAAACTAAAAGACCTTTCTCAAGGATAACTGCAAAATCAAGTAATACTACTATTTATAAATCTCTTCAAATAATGAATACTCTGAAAGTGCCCTTGATGGTTCATTCCTCCTGGGTTATTCTAATGGCTTGCTGGGTAACTGAGTTCTAAAGGACCGTCGATTTATCTTATGTGCTTTGTTTTCCATTAGACTCCAGTACATGGAGCACATGAGTGTTAATAGTATTAACATTGTTTCAGTTATTTTTAGTGTATTATGTGTGTCCTTAAGTGTTTAATACTCCTTAAGAGTATTCCTGTAGTCCAGTTACACTAGCATAAACCACAATGAGTAGCCCTTTACTTGTGTTTGTGTTGAGTGTTTGTGCTTTCATCGAAATCAAGATATGATTCACCATCTAATTAAGAGCTACAGAATTAGAGATTTTATATAAGAGAAGCTACAACAAATACGCTAACCTTTGGGTTAAGGGGAGGAAAAGATAAAGTTTAGAGCAAGAAGAAAATGGGATAGCTACCTTTTTTGTTCATTACCACTTTTTTCTTAATCTAATTACATGCTATCACCTAGCAGGTGGACTTTTTGAAGAGCAGATCAAGATACCCCAGGGGAGAAAAATTTATGTCAAATAAAACAATAAATTTTGTTAAAAAGTTGAAGAAAAAAGTTGATGGAGGAGAGGGGGGCTCTTTGCCGGGTATCCTTTAACAATGAAAATGAGCTGAAGCAAATGTACAAAGGTGCCCATAACCCCTACAGTTCAGGAAACCGTTCTATTGAGGAGTCTGCGAGGAGGTAAAATTGTGGAAGAAATGCTCAGTTTTACAGTGTAGGTGGGTTTGGAGAGATTCATATCTGTCGAGAATAACTAGCCTGTTCCTATCCCAGTAAATATACCATGAAAGAACATTGGATTGTAGTGTGGAAGTTCCATGATAAAACTGCAGCCAAAAGGCTACCTAGTGAAGGTACGATTTTCTGGAAACCCTTCAAAGACATATGATGTCTTGAATCATGTGACATTTTCAAACAGAATATGTAGTAACAAAACCAGAATTTTCTCACTGTTTTCACATAGCACTCCAAAGACAAAACCAAAAGAGAACATATTTATATTGGCTGTAATGAATAATTGAGTAATGGCAGTAATAGCCACAGCTGGTAACACTACATTAATACAAGAAAGTCACAGGTATTATTTTTGTAGAGAATGTCTGATAAACCCTTCCTTCTCACAGTAGGTGATTCCTTTCTTTCTAAAAGTCCTGACATATTTCATGATATGCAAAGTTTCTTATGCTCCAGGGAAATTCAAGAGGTGAACATCGTTGAATGCCAGTACCCTTCTTACAAAGTGGTGTTGCTTTTCAGTCAAAAAGCCATTAATCAGCTAGGACAGCAATTAGAGTATGAAGAGGCTTGGTCAGCACCACTGGCTCTGATTATGTTTTTGAACTGCATAGATTGGTACAGGAAGAAGCTGTAAGTTGGCCTTATCATTCAGTCATCACTTAGGGCAGTAATATGCAATATAATATTAGATTTGTGTGAGATCTTCATCTGTAGGCTGTTGTTCCTAATCTGTGTACTTGAAACAGGTCGTTGCTTACATGACTGGTGTCACTATATTGCATTTTCTGGAAGGGTTTACTGCTTTTTGGCAAGGCATTTTTTTTTTTCACATTAAATGTGGAAAGAAAGCCCAGTGATTTGAAGGTCTGGTACTTAGATGTGTGTAAAGAGGCACCTCCTGCTCTGTAACGAGACGCTTCTGCACTGGTTTATTATAATTTTTCTTACATTTGGTTTGATTATTTTGGAGCCTCATCTCTATTACTGTACGTTTGTCAACACTGCATTTCATTTGCCATGTGGCAGCTCATTGATCACATAGATCTGTATCCTTTTGAACTTCACTTTCTGCTATGTATGTGTTCATCACTCACTCTGATTTAGTGCATCATCAGCAGTTGGAATTAGTTACTGTAGGAATCTATGTTTCTGTGATAAATTAACTGCTTTTGTACTTTAGGTTTCACGTTGTACATTTGGAAGAATTTCCATGCAGTGCTTTGGATATACGCTGTCTTTTTTGGTGCTATTCAGTGGCCACTGTATTGAAACAAATTGGTCAACCTTTCAGAGGAGCTGTCTGGGGAAATGTGACATGCAAGCTGTTAAATACAGCAAGGTTCAGATTTCAATCACTTTTTGCTATCATAAACCTGGCTAGTTAGACTTTCTTTCATCCGCACTGCTTAGTATTTCCTGCTTTTTAGACACCTCTGTGCATGCCTGTGTTCTGTTTGAATTGTGGCAGTCAATGTGAAACCCTATCAGAACCTTTCTAGGTGTAAAATAAAGCTCTAATGTGCTATTTTCCATATTCTAGTAGTACAAGAAAGGTATTCATCTATTTCTGGAGTATTATTTTATAACCTATTTTTTACATAGTATATTAAACAGGTTTCAGTGTACCCGTTTTATCATACATATTATATCTTTATTCCCAATTCACAACAGTTTGCTGTATACGGTTTAAAATGAGACATTGTTAGAGACTTCTTAATAGAGTTTTCTGTAAAAACAAAAAAAATCACGCATCTTAGGATCAGGCTCAGTGAAGCAATGAGCTGTGATGCTGTCTCTGGATCAAGAGTGCCCATGCAAGTACCTGGAGTCTTCCTCTGCTCAGGATGTGACTTTTGCCACCAGCTGGAATACCTCAGGTGTTGCAGGTCACCTTGCTGGTGCATTTAGTAGATGTTGAGTAAAGTACTTTTTAGCTAATTCTGCACCCATCTCCTCTGGTTTAGAAGAGCACAGAGTGTATGGCCCTGATGAACATCAAAGTATCACCATGGGCATACTAGCTACCACCCGTCCTTAAGTTAGTTGCTACTGATCCTTT